TGGGGGCGGTTTTGGGGGGGGTTTTGGGGGGGGTTTTGGGGGGGGTTTTGGGGGGGTTTGGGGGTGGTTTTGGGGGGTTTTGGGGGGGTTTTGGGGGGGTTTTGGAGGGGTTTTGGGTGTGTTTTGGGGGGTTTTGGGGGGGGTTTGGGGCCCAGCGGTCTAATTTGGGACCTCTCATTGGAGGGTCGAGTTTCGGGCCTCATTTGTGGGCTTGACGTGTAGCCTAAGTTGGCTCCAGAGGTTTAAGTAAATTGAGCATTTGGTCTCCCAGGCGCTTTGGATTAATTTACTTAAACTCTGTATGTCAGCTGTTTAGACAAATATCTTGAAAATTCAGAACGATACCACATACAATTTCTATTTATTTTGTCTTGAGGGTTTAGGGTTTAGGGTTTAGGGTTTAGGGTTTAGGGTTTAGGGTTTAGGGTTTAGGGTTTAGGGTTTAGGGTTTAGGGTTTAGGGTTTAGGGTTTAGGGTTTAGGGTTTAGGGTTTAGGGTTTAGGGTTCGCCAGCGCAGCGTGGCGCCCAAGTCAACTATTCTATAGGTGGCTGCCCTATGCTCTAATAAACTTTTTACGGATGCAATTTGCCGAAGATTGAAAACAATTCTCTAAGGGTCCATGGAAGGCGTCAAATTGGCTTCAGAAGACAGCAGGTCCAAAATTGGCGAAGGCCCAAATTGGTCTCAAAGGTCCACGCTTGGCTGCAGAAGGCCAAAATTGGCTTCAGAGGCCCCAATTGGCTTCAGAAGGCCCGAAACGGCTTCAAAAGGCCAAAATTGGTTTCAGAAACTCAAATTGGCTTCGGCCCGCATTTGGCTTTAGAAGGCCAAAATTGGCTTCAGCGGCCCGAAATTGGCTTAAGAGGCCCAATAGAAGCCCAAATTGGCTTCAGAGACCCAAATTGGAGGCCCAAATTAATCAGAAGGCCCCAAAATCTGCGTCAGAGGCACAAATTGGCTTCAGAAGGCCCAAGATTGGCTTCCGGAGGCCCAAATTGATTTCAGAAAGCCTAAAATTGACTTCAGAAGGCTAAAATCAAATGGCCCAAAATTGGCTTTAGAAGGCTAAAATTGGCTTTCAGAAGTGCCAAATTGACTTCAGAAGGCCCAAATGGGCTTCAGGAGGCCAAATTGGCCTCCGGCCCCGCTGGCGTGGACTCTTCTAAAGGTGCCCTAGGCTCCAATAAACTTTGTACGGATGCGACTTGCCGAAGGATGAAAACAATTCTCCAAGGGTCCATGGAAGGCGTTGGAGCGCCAAAAGGCCTCGGGAGGAAAAGCCTTAAACAATCCGGCAGGCTGAAATACACTAAAACATCAATTGCCATCAATACAGCAGAAATGCGAAAGAGGCGAAAAAACAAGAGGCTCCAAAAACAGCGGGAGGTCGGAGGCTGTAAAGAGCCGCGAAGGGCCCCAGTTCGGAAGGCTCGAGAAAAAGTCAGGAAAAGTGGTCTGCAAGAAACTTGGCTCTACGCAGCGCTCAACATAAAACGCAGCTTCAAGCAGTTGGTGGCTGTTTTCTCACGCGCTCTTTGTGCTTGGTGAAACGGGAACGATTCTAATGTTGCTCTGCGCAAGTCGCAGGCTTGAGCTGGACTGCACGCTACCCGGTCTTGGAAGAGGCAGTGGATCGTCTGCAGTTAGGGCAGGTCCTGACTCGCAGCTGCCCTTTCTGCTGCACATGCTCGAACATCTTGCCGCAGCTCCGGCACTTCTGCTTGTTTGTGACGCGGGTGCTGCGAGAGGAGCAATTCTCACACATTTGTTGTCGCTTCAGATCGCCCTGCTCTTCTTGGAAGAATTGCTTGCAGCCTTTGCACGTAAACCAACCTTGGCGTGACTTGGTATTTCCTTTGTGCTTTGCTTCATCTTGGCAGGCGCGGCAGGCCACACGCTCCGCTGGCAGGGTCACCATGGCTGCTTCGAATTCATCTACAGGCTTGTTGCTGCCACATATGGCGCAGGTCAGGGTGGCTGCAGCTTTCACGCACTGAAGGCAGCGCCGCTTGGCCGGAGCATCCTTCTGCTTCAGCTGGGCACGTGGGAAGGCGTCCTCTATCTTGGCAACTTTGCAGACGCTGCACTCCAAATTGGCAGGGCCGCTCGAGTACTTACGCTTCCTCGGGGCCTTGGGGTTCTCTGCGTTGATGCAAGCCAGGCAGGTGGCCGGCAGGTTGGCGCGGACCTTCTCCCACTGTGCGCTGGAGAAAGACTCCACGACTTTGACGTGCCTGCATGTCTGGCAGGTCGCCGAAGGTCGACGGGCTTCCCGATAGGTCTGCCAGTCGATTTCTTCACCACGCAGGCTCTGCAACAAGAGCTTCGGTCCTTCTGGGGCGCCGCGTTGAAAGAGCCAGAGCGGGAAGGGCCGCATGATGAGGACGTCGTGCCGGCTGCGCACGCGGCTCACTGCCACCGTGCCCAGGGTGGGGTCCGTCCGCTTGTCGATGGCGAGGTCCAGGATCGCGGCCAGCAGCGTCTTGCCCTGGCTGGTGTGCGCCGTGATGGCGAAGGCCGGCACTAAGGGAATCTGCTGCCTGACGATCTTCAGCACGGACTTCTTCCTCTTCGCGTCCAGGTGCCACGCGCGCTTCTTCAGCTCCACGGGATACAGTCCCGGCTCCGACGCGCCGTCCAGCTTCCACTTGGCATCGTCGAACTTGACGTACCTCGATGACTCGATGGGCAGCAAAAGGCGATTCAACAACTATATGTGTTTAAAATTATAGGTGCCGCGTGATGAATTCTGCGACGCACGACACAAAGGAATGCAACGCAAAGGCATACTTGAATAATGTTACTGTAAATGCATTTATTACAGAAGTGAAAATTTGCTGCCCCTGCCCAGATTCACGACCTTGGGCTGCCGGTCGTTGTCATGCCAGATCCAGGAGTGCACGCGGCCCACGCGACCCTTCAGCAGCAGCTTGTCTTGGGAGCGGTCGAGGTGCTGCGTCAGCGCCACCGGCATGCCGATGGCCAGGGGCAGCATGCCGCAGAGGTCCGCGGTGTCCCGGTCGTGGTACTGCAGCCATCGGATCTTGGCACTTTTGTCGCAGTTCTCCGCCTGCAGTGCCTCGTTGCTCGCCAGATCCAGCGCTACCGAGTAGCGGAGAGGCGTGCCCGCGGCCTGCGCATATGCGCGCGCCCGGTCTTTGTTGATCTGGTACCGGGCATCGTTGTTGGCGACCACGACGAAGGCTTCCACGAACTTCTGCTCCTTCAGGCGGGGGTCGTTCTCGGACATAATAACCCGACGCCTCGAGTCCCGCTCTGCCTGGCTGAGCGTGCAGCCTTCCACTGGCATGCCGTGAAGGTACTTGTGGTTGTTTTCGGACAGGCTGACGTTGCGAAACTCGTCCACCACTTCGTTCCACCACTCGTCCTGGCAGCGCTGCCGCTCGATCAGCTCGGTGACGCCTTGTGTCGACCCGCCCCAGAGCAGCTGCCGGCCGTACTCCGCCAGGAGATCTTGGTTCGCGGCTTCTTGCGCGCCGGCCGGAAGTTTCAGGCTTGCAGGCACGTCGCCCAGGAAGCCACCTTCCGGTGGTTTGAGCTGGTGAAAGTCGCCCATCAGAACCGTGTTGACGCCGGCAAAGGCTCGCACGTCTCCGTGCTCGTCCAGCTTCCAGGCATTGGCCGAAGGCATGACCGCGCGCATCCTCTGCTCCACCTGTGCCAAAAGCCTGGCGTTCACCATGCTGATCTCGTCGATGATCAACCAGCGCCAGTAGGACAGGCGCTTCGCCGTGTCGCGGCTGGCCGCTTGATCCGTGAAGGCGCCGACGCTGAGCCCGGAGGCGCTGTGCAAGGTCTTGCCGGCCAAGTCCGCAGCATTCGCGGCTTGAAAGGCAGTCACTTCGTACTCGACGCCCTGAGCGTACCCGAGCATGCCGAAGAGCTCGTGCACGGACTCGAGGACCCAGGTCTTGCCGGTGCCAGGCCCGCCGTGCAGGAGCCACACCAAGGGCTTGTCGCGTTCCAGGATGCTGTCCTGTGGGTGGAGCAAGCCGTGCTCGACGAGCACTCGGTCAACGAGCAGGCAGAGGAGCTCGTGCTGCTTGGCGTTGATGCGGCTTCGAACTCGATCGCTGTGCAGCCAGTTCAGCATCTGCTCGGAGCTGACTGCCGGTCGCTGCAGCACGTGTGGTGGCTTTTCCACACTGCCCAACGCGGCGCGGGACTGCAAGGCGCTTGCCGTGGCTGCTTGACAGCGCGAGGCCTGCGCCGCCTTCAAGAGGCGCTCCGGGCACTCCACGCCCTTGCAGGATTCCAAGCCCTTGCGCTTCTCCGCCGCGGCCTGGTCTTCCTCGATGCCAGAGGACGGAAGCCAAATGGATGAAGATAGATCGAAGATCTGCTTGGTCATGGTGTGCTGCAGGGTGGGGTCCGTGCTGCTGCTCGCGGCTGCAGCATCAGCTGGGTCGTCTGCCTCTGCACGGCCACTGCCCCGCACATGCGTGGCCATGGCTGCTTCCAGGTCGGCGCTGTCGAAGATTGCCGGGGCGTCCTGCGGGCACAGCACAGAGCGACAACATCTTGTGAGTGCAGAGTTATAGAAGTGGCTCATTAATCGACACGAACATAAAGGACACAAAGGAATTACGGCTGACCGGGTCCTCGATGCCTTCGTTGTCGCTGTTGGCCGCCAGTTCGCCGTTGGACTGCAGCTCCCGAGGCAGGCAGTAGACGAAGCAGAAATTCAAGATGTAGTGCCTGAGGGTCTCAGTGGCAAAGCCGCGCCTCGCGAACCAAAGCTTCAAGGCGTCCCGCCAGCTGTCAGCGCCGCCGCGGAGGTCGCTGATGAAGGGCACCGCGTCCGTGGCATCGGCAGCGTTGGTGGTCCAGGGGCAGAAGAGCAGCATGACTTTCTGAGCTTGCTCCTCCTCCGTCCGGCAGCCCTGGGCACCGTAGATCACGGGCACATGGGGGCGCTTGCGGAGCTCCACGATCCAGTCGTGTCGATATGGCTGGGCTCTCTCGCCATGACCGAGCGGCAGCCAATCCACTCCACCTCGCTCCTTGATCTGGTAGTCGAGCCCTGCAAGCAGCTTGGTTATGGCCACTCCAATCCTCAGCTTGGCTTTGCCGGCCTGGGTAAGGAAGACGTGGTATTTCTCCGGCTCCTGCACCTCCCGCGCCACAGAAAAAGGTTGCGACGCAAGCTTGTAGTGATAGTGGCGCGCAAATTCGAAGGCACACAGCTCGTGCACTCGCGGATCACGGCCGCGCTCTCCGTACAACGTCCACGGCGGGCACTCGGCGCACTTCTTCTTGCCATAAAAGCCTGTGTGCCTGGAGTCTGTCTGAATTCGGCGGGGCTCCGTGGGTAGGGGCTCCCGAGCAACAGCTGCATCCAACAGGCGAAGCCCGTAAGCTAAGGCGATGTCCGTGACTTGCGCTGTCTTGATGGACTCAGCGCGTGTGCAATCAGTGCTGCGTGCGTGGTCCACGAGGTTGACGCATTCCACAGAGGCCCGGCAGACGCCCCGCGCGCAGCAATCGGTGGCGAGGCGCTTGCTGTGCCTGCCCATAGCGTAGCCGGTGGGCTTGCCTTCCAGCTCCTTGGCCAGCTCGGTCTGAGCTTTCTGCCACTCTTTCGTTTCCTGCACGGCGATGGCCAGTCTCTTGTTCATGTAGTCGCAGCCGTAGCCCGCCTGCGCCGCCTGGTTCTGCTGGGCTTGCTTGACGACCTGACGGGGGTCGGCGCCGGCCGCGCAATCTTCCTGGCAGAGATCGTCTTCGTGCAGCTCCGCCAGGATCGGGAAGCGGTAGGGCACTTGGACGTCGGAGTTGCACCTGAGCGCTGCCAGCAACGCAGGGTGGGTGCCGTTAAGGTTGGGGTCGTTGACGGGGCCCCAGAGAGCGCCCAGCGCGCTTCTTTTGCCCTTGACCGGCAAGCCCATGTGTTTTGCCAAGCCCTCGCAGACCAGCACGGCGGCGTCGGTCATTTGCTCCTGCGGCTTCGGAAAGCCTGCCTTGCATTTGGTCGGATCGCGGGGATCTCTGCAGTGGGCCAGAGGAAGACGCTCCGCGTCTGTCGCGAGGAAGGCTGTTTCCCGCTCTTCTGCTTTTCGCTCCAGCCATTCGGCCTCGACGGAGGTGGCCTTGGCCCGCAGGGCCTGTGCGGTGTACGCCGCTTGCTTCTGCTGGAGCGCCTTTGGCAGGTGGACGTGGTGCTGCTTGTGCTGCTGCAAGGCTTCTACGTCTTCTTCCAGGAACGCTCTTCGCCACTGCTCTCCTTCCAGCGCTGCGTCCTTCTGATACGACGGGCGGCTCAGCACCAACGTGGACTTGCGGTACTCGGGCCACTCGGCTTCGATGGAATGCCGCTTCTGCTTCCAGGCCGCGGGGTCGCTGTAGACGGAGCGCCTCACGTGCCCCGCGTAGGCCATGTACTTCTGCAGTAGAGCACGCTTGTCCCCGGTGCTCAGCTTCAGCATGTCGGCCAGCGGTGTGAACTGGTGAAAGTTCTGCACGAAGACCTGCAGGGGTCGGGAGAAAAGAATTTGGATCGGCAGCTCGGCCCTTTCAAAATATTTACTTTGAATAAGGCGGGTTCCTGTAAAAGTGTTGCGCACAGTTGTGATTCATTGCTTTTTGTTTAAACTCTCGACTCTGCCGCCGGCCTGGAAGTGCCCGTGGAACGCTCCATTCTTTTGCGTTTCCAGAGAGCCGAAGACGGCATCCACGCGGCCGAAGATGCCGCCGCAGGCCATGGCGCTGCTGCCGAAAGCATCCACGCAGGGCGTGTCGGAGGTGACGCAGTCGGGGCAGCATGGGCAGAAGCGCACGCCCAGGAGGTGCCGGAGCGCCAGCTGCACAAGCGTCTTGAAGCCTTCGAGGCAGGCCAGCGGGTCTCTGGCCAGCATGGCTCTGCGCTCGTCATAGGGCGGGAGCTCGGCCGCAAGGGCTTCCGGGTCGAGGCGACAGAACTCCACCTCCAGATCTGGCTCGTCCCTGGCTTGGAACTTCTTGGACCCTTCCTGGGCGATGGCTGGGTCGCTCCTGCGCGCGCGGGCCAGGCGCAGCATGAGCGTGGTGTCCCGCTCGGACGGCGAGAAGGTCAAGAAGAGGGAGGTGCCATAGCAAACCCTGTAGGCGTGCGTTTGGTGGCGCATGGTCTGCCGCACTTCGTGCGTTCCTGGGATCCGGCGAGTTCTGGCTTCACAGTTGTCCAAGACCTTCTTGGCGGCCTCGGACAGATTGGGCGCGTAGCGCACCTTTGACAGATCGCCTTTGATGGCTTTCATCTCACCGGTGACGTCCTTGTACTTGCCGCGACACAACTTCTGCTGGATCTCGCACACGCCCTTGAGGATGTCCTCGTTGGTGAGCGGTCGGCGGCCGCCGCGCTCGTCCGGGATGGTGTACATGTAGGTGTTCTTCTGAAGGTTGATCATGGTCCGGAAGATGTAGTTCCAAACCGTGAAGCCAAAGGTCCAGTCCCGGCGGAATTGGGTTTCCACGCGGCGAAGCATGGCCGCAGCCCAGTCGTAGATGAAGACCTCCGGCGCCTTGGCGTCGCGGGACCGGCGTCGGGTCGCCGCGCCCGCCGCATTGCTGTCCTGCAGAGGCAATGGATCCGAATTGTTATAAGAAAAAAGTAATACATTTTAATGTTCTCTATGCCGCTGTGCTCTTTGGCATTTGCACTTACCGTAAGAGTCACTTACCTCTCTCCTGAGCCGCGTTGGTCTTCTGAATGTCGGGGCAGGCAGTGGCGTGCTTGAAGCAGAAGCAGAAAGCCGTGGCAAAGTACATCGGTTGGAATTGGTCAATGAACTTGTTGCCCGTCCGCACCTCGAAAGTTTGCGCCACCTTGTCCCTGGGGGCTGCTTCTTCCCGAGTTTCCGGCGATTGATGGAGGCCCGGGTCCTCCGCTTCCCGTAACTGCTCGGCCAGCTCGTTCAGGGCCAGCACTCCCGCTGCATTCTGATCCTGGCGATCCACGCTCCAGCCTTCCGGCACCACGGCGCGGGCTCGTTGGGCGGCAAAGATCGCGCCGGCCTCTTCCAGCTGCAGAAAGGCATCGGACGGCGTGGCCGCCTTTTGCGGCTGCAAGCGGTCCTCCGCCTTGTCGTCGATCTCCGCGATGACCTTCAGCACTTCCGGAGGAACTCCGTCTTCAGGCAGAGATAGGGCCGCCTGTCGAACGGCCACCTCGTCCGCGCCCTGGTAGGCCGGGTGCCCCAGTTTCTTCATGTCGAGGATCAGCTGCACGACCACCTCTCTGCGCACGTTCGCCTGGTGGATCAAGCTCTTGATCTCGGCGTCCGAGGTCTTGGCAGTCTTGTTGGTCTTCAGCACCACGCGCACCACGTTTCCCAGCTCAGGTCCGCTGCGCGGCAGCTGGGCGGGCGCCTCCCCGCCTGCTTCGCTTTCCAGCACGCCGTGGTGCGCCTGCAGGTTCCGCAAGAGGTCTTCCCACGGCAGAGGGAAGGTCAACGCGTTGCCCCGCGCGCCGAGGCGGTGCCTGGCCATGTGGGCGTGCTCGTCCAGCGGCGAGCTCTCGCTGCGGTACCGCGCCTCCATGGACATGCACACGAGCGTGGTTATGCAGGGGCTGGCGCAAATCATCTCCATGACCGTGACCTTGTCGGTGTAGAGGCGCTCCGGGGCGTACCCGGTCCACATGTCGTTGGCCAGGCTGAGAGGCGGAAGCCGGCCCGCCGCCAAGTTCTCGTGGCATTCGCTGCAGATCGGCACTTCGCAGTGCTCGCACAAGCAGCCTTCCGTCGCGTGCTCCGGGTGCCTGGAGCAGCGGTGATCTTCCGGGCAGCAGAGCAGGAAGGCGCCGTCTGGGAGTTGGACCCGCCAGCGGGTGAAGTCCTCGAAGGTGGTCAGCTTGAGGTCGCCCTCCAGGCGGTCGTACTTCTCGAGGAAGGAGTCGAGCCCCAGAATGTCCAGCACTTCGGGCAGCTGCCGGCCAAGGAAGGTTGGCGGCGCTTCTGGCCGCGCCGCGTCTTGCTGCAGCGGGCGGCGCCATCTGATGTTCCCCTTCTCTTCTGTCTCGGCGACGCGGGTGTGGATGCAGGCGCAGCAGAAACAGACCAGCGCCTCCACCCCGTCGCGAGCTGTCGCTGCCGAGAACGATTGCAAGGCCTTGCGATCCAGGGAGCAGCCGGCCAAAGGCGCTTGAGCGCGGCACCTGATGGCCACGGCCTGGTTGTAAATGCTCAGGAAGGCGTCCTTGGCATTTGGGTCGGGCAGCAACTTCAGCAGCGGCTCCAGCTGGGACAGGTGAGAATGGCGGAGATGCTGCGTCAACTCCCGTTCTCCCCCGCGCTCGCAGCTCCATGTGCACTCTTGGAAGGCGCAGAAAACGTGCGGCCATGCTTCGCCCGCATCCAGTGAGTGCACAGATGCTCCAGGCGGAAGCGTCGGGAAATCCCGCAGCTCGCCGGCCAGCTTGCGCAAGCCGTCCTCGAGCGGTCTGTGCGGGTGCGAAGATTCTGCAGCGATCTGGCACAGGCTCAGTTCTTCCAGCACTCCACCTTGCTCCTCGTTTGCACCTTTCTCTGGCACTGGCTTTGGCTGTGACTTGGAAGCAGGTTGGCCTCCCAAGGCCGAGGAGTGTGCGCCGCCGGACTCCTCCGTTAGGCGCTCTTGGGGGCTCTGCGAGGGCATTTGATTGGAGGGCGTCGCCGTCAGCAGGTCGTAGTGGTCCACCCCGTTGTAGAGCAGATGCACCGCCGAGAAATCTTCTGCTTCGAGGTCTTCCGCGACCCGCCAGTGCGTGCGGCAACTGGAGTGGAACTTTCCATCTTCGTCTTGCCAGTGCACGTTCACGCGGCGCTGCCGGAGCAAGGACCACGCCAGCACTGAGGTGTCTCCGCCCCAGCAGTGCGCCGGATCGCCGCGGAGAATTGCCGCTTCCTCCAACCAGATTTCCTCTTCTTCGTCTTGTTCGGCAGAACGCTCTTCCAGGAATTCTGCCAGCTCCTCCCGCAAAGCTGCGGCGTCCCCGCCCTCGTGCAGGGACAGCGCGTGGAACAGGCAGTTGCCGTCTCCTTTCATTTTCACGATGCGAAAGTCGGGCGGCGCGGCGCCAGGGGTCCTGGGCGGCGCGCGGGAGCTGGAGCTGGCTGCTGTGTTGCCGTAGAGAGCCTCAGTAAAGTCGATCGAGGGTTGTTGTGACACATATATATATATATATATATGGCGCTTTAAACAACCCTGATGCGTGCTGGTCCGCTTGCCCTTGTTGCACTCCGAGCTGTCGGCGTGTTGCAGCTTGTTCCTTTGCTTCTTGTCCACGCTCCAGAAGGCGCAGGGCAAGCCGCAGAGCGCCTTAGGCCACGCACTCTCGCATTTGGTGTAAATAGACACGCTGGGCGACCTGACCTGGAATGCTATACTACAGGCTGGGGCGCGGGCCAGCTGCAACTTGACCCTCTGCCTGCGGCCCATCGTTGAGGTTGCGTAGCAAGTGGGGCCTCAGTGTCGCGTATGAGAAGACACGCGTGCTGCCGATACTGAGACCGATCAGGTCGGACAAAATCTGAGCCGGGCACTGTCGCAGGAGAGCACGTGCACCAAGTCCGGGCGCGCGGCTGTGCCAGGGCTCGGAACTGCAGAGAGGCAGGCAGGCGCTCGCTTGTTGGAACACGTTGCAGCCATGTGTGAGCTTGTGCTTGTGACTGTATGCTGTAAGGCCCTCGCAGAGCAATCGGCGGGTCACGTTGCAGGCTTCCTCGATACGCAGAGGGTCGGACTGATCGGGAGCGCGTGTAAGTGGAAAGCGCATGCGCATGGCTTGAGGAACGGACTTCATCGTCGGAGACAATCGTCGTGCGAACAGCTCGGATGTGCATCCTCTTCGCCGCTCAACTCTCGACTCTGTAGACACAAGTGTGGGGCACGTCTGTCATGCGACCTCCGACGCTTCGGCCGAGCCGTTGCGTTACTGGTCGCGCCCGCTGCTGCAAGCGCCGCTCTTTCCTCCTACACGATTTTGCAGACACAGGGTTAACTTGCGCGAGAGTACGTTGGTGATTCAAACCAAGGTGCTGAAGTGTTCTTCGCGCCTGTGCCTGTCGTAGCGCAGCTTCTAGCACCTGGTCTTCTTCATTGTCTGGCGCCGGGCGTGGCTGCTGCCCCGCCGTTACTGCCTTGGATCTTTCACTTGACCCAGCGCAGGACGCGTGCAGAAACTCACAGGACACCGCTGCAGACTCTCAGGGAGAGCACCTTCCTGCGTTGCGCAGCTCGCGGCTTCGCAGGCCCGGTGGCCTCTGCAGCTTTTGCGGCAACTTCACGCCGCTGCTTCTTCCAGTCCTGAGAAGTGAAGAAAAAGCAAACCTCTCTGGACTGGACAAGGCAAGACAATGCTGGTCGATCACCGCCTCGTCGATGATGATGGTGCCTGCCTTGCGCACGCGCAACTCGCTGGACGTTCTTTTGCGCTGGACGACAAGATGATGGGCTTAGCCGAGGGGATGACTGGCGTGAGCAGTGTCAAGCGACAACGTGTGGCGAGATAGTCGCGCTTGAACACGTCCCAATCCCACACGCTGACCTGCCAAATGCATGAGCGCGTTTGCTCTGCGCGCTGCCCTATAGAGGCCCTTTTGCTTGGGAACGCACCTCGCTGTCATCGTCGACCATGTCAGCCCAGCGGCAAGTGGACGGCATGATTGCCTGACGTGCAAACAAGCAAGGGCTTCGCCGCAGCGTCCATGTCTCTGCAGATAAGGCCTCGACTCGGCAGGGACGACTTGCGAATTGTGAGCAGTTGCTGCTAAATATTTGAGCTTGAGAAGCAGGTGTGTCGTCTGAATCGCCTAAACACTGGGTCAAACCAATCAAAACATTTCAGAGGTCGACATGAGGCACTGCGCACTTCCAGCGCAACTGCAGACATCACAAGGCTTTGCAAACTGCGCTTTTTTGCTCAAAATCAGCTGCTCAGCAGGTCTTGGGCGGTCGTGGCTTTGGCTTTGCAGTCTTGCGTGCCCGCTTCCTCTTGCATGGGACTTCTTTGGGTCGCACACGCATCTCACTGCTGTTTGCGCTGCGAAGAAGTGCATCATCCCAACGCTGCCAGCGCTCTCGAGTCAGCCATTGCACACTGCCTCGCGCCACCCAGCTGGGGATTGCGATCGGCGATGGCAGCAGCTCCACCTCTTCAATTTCCCAAGCCCATGGGTCTTCGTAAGCCAAGGCCTGTCGGGGCACAGCACAGTTGCTAGGCAAGTGGCATGTTGTTCAGTGCACGTGTGCTTGCAGCTCAACCCAGTCCTCCAAGGTGCCAGCGTATTCTTCTCGCTCAGCGGCAGAAAGCCGGTGTGAACCAGAGATCAACGCACGTCCTTGGATTTCCAGGACGCCAGTGGCGGCCAAAGAGATCCAGCCTTTGTGAGGGCAAGGCTTCTTCCTGATTTCGATGCGCTTGGTACCTTCAAGGATCTGCTGCAGCCAGCGTGGCTTAATTTTGAGAGCTCGCACGGTGATTCCAAAGGCTTCCGCAGCAGTCGCGGGACGAGGCGCTGCCATGCCCGCTAGGAACGAAAGAACGCCGGCTATGCAAAATGTGAAAGCGCATGGGGCGCACTGCTTCAAGTGTGAGTGCAAAATTGCCCTGTGTATGCGTGCGTGTAGGTCCAGATGTCCTGTGTTTACCGTGAACTCTTCTTGAGAAATGTCACGAGTGGCTGAAGCTTGTGTCCTGTGACCGTGAAATCACTCGCACATCTCAGGAAGCAAAGCCTTGCTAAGACCAGCAGCCGAAGTTGCGTCCATCAATCTATTTGTCTTCGAAGTCCTGGACACTCGAACCAGCCCTTCGCGAAGTCCAGGTCTCGAACGAGCCCTCCAGGAAGTCCTCCTTCTTCGCCCCGTGATAGACTGGTGCTCCAGGCCATCGTCCGTACAGACAAAGGATTCAATGCAATGTTGACATTCAAAAGACAAACGACAAGCAACGCCTTGCTAAGACCAGCAGCCGAAGTTGCGCCCATCAATCTATTTGTCTTCAATGTCCTCGACTCGAACCAGCCCTGCGCAAAGTCCAGGTCTTGAACGAGCCCTTCAAAAAGTCCTCCTTCTTCGCCCCGGAATAAACTGGTGCTCCAGGCCATCGTCCGTGTACAGACAAAGGATTTAACATAATGTTGTTGCTTAAAAGAAAAACGAGAAACGCACAGCCTTGTCGAGACCAGGTCACCCCACACCCGAATCACCTCAAGAATGGATCACCCCAACGACTGGGTCACCTCAGAGCTGGGATTCCAGAACTGAGTCACCCCAGCACTGGGTCACTCCAAAAGCTTGAGTCACTTCAGGAATGGGTCAACCAGGCCTGTCTGCAGGAAGGCGCTTTGCCGCGTTCTATTTGTCTTCAATGTCCTCGATTCGAACCAGCCCTTCGCAAAGTCCAGGTCTTGAACGAGCCCTCCAGGAAGTCCTCCTTCTTCGTCCCGTTATAGACTGGTGCTCCAGGCCATCGTCCGTGCACAGACAAAGGATTCAATGTAATGTTGGTGCTTAAAAGAAGAAGCAAAGCCTTGCTGAGACCAGGTCACCCCACGCCCGAATCACCTCAAGAATGGATCACCCCAACGACTGGGTCACCTCAGAGCTGGGTGTGCGCCAGAACTGAGTCACCCCAGCGTTGGGTCACTCCAAAAGCTTGAGTCACTTCAGGAATGGGCTGCCCAGGCTTGTTTGCAGCCGAAGGCGCTTTGCCCAAGCGTTCTATTTGTCTTCAATGTCCTCGACTCAAACCAGCCCTTCACAAAGTCCAGGTCTTGAGCGAGCCCTTCAGGAAGTCCTCCTTCTTCGTCCCGTGATAGACTGGTGCTCCAAGCATCTCCAGGCCATCGTCCATGGACAGAGGAAGGATTCAATGTAATGTTGTTGTTGCTTAAAAGAAAAAGCAAAGCCTTCCTGAGACCAGGTCACCCCGTACCCGAATCACCTCAAGCATGGATCACCCCAACGGACTGGGTCACCTCAGAGCTGGGTACACCGGAACTGAGTCACCCCAGCGTTGGGTCACTCCAAAAGCTTGAGTCAGTTCAGGATTGGGGCACCCAGGCTTGTCTGCAGCCGAAGGTTCTTTGCCCCAGCGTTCTATTTGTCTTGAATGTCGTCGATTCGAACTAGCCCGTCACAAAGTCCAGGATTTGAACGAGCCCTCCAGCAGGAAGTCCTCCTTCTTCGCCCCGTGATAGACTGGTGCTTCAGGCCATCGTCCGTGCACAGACAAAGGGTTCAATGCTCTGTTCTGATTTAAAACGAAAATACAATGTCTTGCTGAGATCAGCAGCCGAAGTTGCACACATCAATCTATTTGTCTTCCATGTCCTCGACTGGAACCAGCCCTTCACAAAGTCCAGGTCTTGAACGAGCCCTCCAGGAAGTCCTCCTCCTTTGCCCCGACACACGAAATGGCCCGCCGGGAGGCTTTTCTTCTTGGTCCTTAAGACAAACATTTTCACTTCGGGTTGGCTGGCTTAATTGACTGCAGCCAAAGACCTCCAAGTAGTCCTCCTTCTGTCCTTCCAGCAATTCCTCCTTCTTTGTCCTCGGGATAAGCGCCCTGGATAAGCAAACTGGCCCTCCAGGAAGTTCTCCTTCTTTGTCCGGGATAAGCTCCTCCTTCTTTGTCCCCGGGATAAGCAAACTGGCCCTCCAGGAAGTCCTCCTTCTTTGTCCCCGGAAGGAGCAAACTGGCCCTCCAGGAAGTCCTCCTTCTTTGTCCCCAGAATCAGAAACTGGCCCTCCAGGAAGTCCTCCTTCTTTGTCCCCAGGAGAAGCAAACTGCTCCAGGAAGTCCTCCTTCTTTGTCCCCAGAATAAGAAACTGGCCTTCCAGGAAGTCCTCCTTCTTTGTCCCCGGGATAAGCAAACTGGCCCTCCAGGAAGTCCTCCTTTTTGTCCCCGGACAAGCAAACTGGCCCTCCAGGAAGTCCTCCTTCTTTGTGAGCAAACTGGCCCTCCAGAAAGTCCTCCTTCTTTGTCCCCAGAATAAGAAAGTGGCCTGCCAGGAAGTCCTCCTTCTTTGTCCCGGGATAAGCAAACTGGCCCTCCAGGAAGTCCTCCTTCTTTGTTCCCG